CGTGAATACCTAAACGCGTCCGTGAACTCAGTGTTCTGGGCCAAAACGCACCGCTTCACTCTCGGAGTTCATGGGTTGTGCTTACAGTTCACAGTCTTAGCGACCGTGAACTGCCTTGTAGTCAATAACCTCCGGAATCCCTCTGGACGGTTCTCTGTTCACGGTTTGTGGTTCCAGTTCACAATCCTAGCGACCGTGAACTCACAGCTCTGACCATGAACTTCGTCTGGTTCCTGGACGCATGCGGTTCACTGTCACGAGGCAATTGTCACGGTCGCCTTTGGACTTTTCTTCGGTTTTTGCGCTTTTTGACCTCCAATCATCCGAAACTCGTCCTCGACTCTTCCACACGTGCTAGGACCTGAAATGTATCAAAGCAAGCATAACCTATAGTGAAATATGTCGAGGGACGATGAAATGCAAAGCCAAACTATCAAGAAACGAGGGGTAAAATGTGTACAATTGGACCCGAATAAGATATTTCAATCGAAACTTCTTTCGTTAAAACCATATATTTTCGAAGTTCGTTCGCTAAGTGGCTAGTACTTGCATTAGCCATTCTCTTAGCTAGGTCCGATATGTATTGGACTATTTTTTCTTGACGAAGTTTAAAAACATCTGATTCTGAAAACCATTTGTTTTAATTTTCTTTCATTTTCAATTACATCTAGTCGTTGATTTAAGATGGTTTTAACTTCATCTCCTACCCTCTGTCTGTCAAATTAAGACATTTCCGAGGCAGTTTCATCAAATCTTTCTACCACGACTTAAAAGTTAAACCATAGCGTCTAGATGGGCAGGATTAGTAAAATTAGGCTGAGTATTTGAGTTGGAAGACTCGTCTTTAAATATCATGATGTCCTACCATAAAAATTGCTTAAAAAGCTTTTAATGACCAAAATGTAAATGGGTAGTTGATAAGTGGTCGATTGACTAAATAATGTGGTTATATCGCTAAAATTTTGATGTTGACTCTCAAAAATACATGTAGGTGGCTAGATTTGAAAATAAGTTGAGAGAGTGTCTAGATATGTAAATAATTTTATTTTAGTGATTATTTTTGTAAATTACTCCTCTCTAGTTCAGTGACTATTTATAGATTTAGGTAGAGTATACCAGTTCCAGACCTACTACCAACTCCTATCAAAAGGGGAAAAATACAGAGCTCCATTAACCCATCTTATCCTTAAATCTCTCCGCCCGCTCTCTAAACCCTAGTTCCCTTCCTCCGCCCTCGCATTCCGTTTATTTCTTCCGGGTAATCTTCTATCTCCTTCCCTGTTTGTTCTATGTTTGTTTCCTTTAAGTGCTTCTGGCTTGTGTTCTTTGCTGAAATAAGGAATTTTCTCATCTAAAGTTTGCAATTTTCTTTATGGTTTTTGGTTTCTTTTCCATCAAATGCTCAGCTTCCCATTTGCCCAATTTCTATATTGGTTCACACGGTCTGTTTTACCTATGGATTTTCAATGCTATCTGCTGCTATTGCAGATAAGATGGCTTCAACCTTCACAACCATGTCATCGGTTGGATCCATGGCCGCCCCTGCGATGGATAAGAGAGTAGCTGCGTCTCCTTCAAACAAGTTGTCTTCCCTGGCTTCAGTTTCCGGAAGCTCATTCGGGAGAAGAAAGCAGAATGTTGGTTTGAGGAATTCTCGTTTGCCTATGACTTGTAAGGCAGCCAAGGAGTTGCATTTTAACAAAGATGGCTCAGCGATTAAGAAGCTGCAGACTGGTGTGAACAAGCTTGCCGACCTTGTTGGAGTTACACTGGGACCCAAAGGCCGCAATGTCGTTCTCGAGAGCAAGTATGGATCCCCGAAAATCGTGAATGATGGTGTAACTGTTGCCAAGGAGGTGAACTACTTACCTCTGGATTCGATCGTCTTTGTTGTTTCTCAGGTTGGCCTTTTGAAGGTATACTAGTTTGAGAATCGAACTCGTTAACTCTATTTTTTCAGGTCGAATTGGAGGATCCAGTCGAGAACATTGGTGCCAAGTTGGTCCGACAGGCTGCTGCCAAGACTAACGATTTGGCTGGTGATGGCACAACGACATCTGTTGTCCTTGCTCAAGGCCTTATTGCTGAAGGCGTTAAGGTATCTGTATGGGTTTTCCGATGCTGGGTTTTCTCTTTCTATCTAGCGCCGCTACTGATGTTGGTGCTCTTTCCTTTTTCCAGGTTGTGGCAGCTGGTGCAAACCCAGTTCTAATTACTCGAGGCATTGAGAAGACAACCAGGGCTCTTGTCAAGGAACTTAAGTTAATTTCGAAAGAGGTAACGTGGATTGGTACGAGTCAGTTGGATGACTAATTCGTCTATGTCGTTCAATTAATCATAGGAAATGATGATTTCAGGTTGAAGACAGCGAACTTGCTGATGTTGCTGCAGTTAGTGCTGGAAACAATTATGAAGTAGGGAATATGATTGCTGAAGCAATGAGCAAAGTTGGTCGAAAGGGTGTTGTGACTTTGGAAGAGGGTAAAAGTGCAGAAAACAACCTTTACGTTGTGGAGGGAATGCAGTTCGACCGTGGTTATATCTCACCTTACTTCGTAACCGATAGTGAGAAAATGTCTGTTGAATTTGATAACTGCAAGGTATAAGGTGTATAAGTTTTATGATTGCTTGAGCAGAGTATTGGGATTTGTATTTGTTTGCATATTGTTGTGATAAAATTTGACTTCTTTTGGGCTGCTGCAGCTGCTTCTTGTTGATAAGAAGATAAGCAATGCAAGGGATCTTGTTAACGTCCTGGAAGATGCAATTAGAAGTGGGTTCCCCATTGTGATAGTCGCTGAAGACATTGAACAAGAAGCTCTTGCAACGCTTGTTGTGAACAAGCTTAGAGGTGCTCTGAAGATTGCTGCTCTGAAAGCTCCTGGTTTTGGAGAGAGGAAGAGCCAGTATCTTGATGACATTGCTATTCTTACTGGAGGTCAGTTCCAAGTCCTAAGTGTTAGTTGCTGTGTAATTCTTCTTGTTAGAGCTGTCATTTCACCAGGGATTCTGAGAAGTGTCGATTCCATTTATTCAGGAACTGTTATCAGAGAGGAGGTGGGTCTTTCATTGGACAAAGTTGGCCGGGAGGTGCTAGGAACTGCTTCGAAGATTGTCCTTACTAAGGATACTACGACAATTGTTGGTGATGGGAGCACCCAGGAAGCAGTAAACAAGAGAGTTGCACAAATTAAAAACCTCATTGAGGTTTGTTTGGTGGCCCTATCAACTTCTCTCAATGCTGCTTTGGTGACATGTCAGTGGTTCTGCCCTCTAATTACTTGAGTGGTCAATTGGTTGTAGGCTGCAGACCAAGACTACGAGAGGGAGAAGCTCAATGAGAGAATTGCAAAGCTGTCTGGTGGTGTTGCTGTGATCCAGGTAAACCTTCAACTATGTTTTACTTCAGGTATGTGCATGGCCCGGTGTGAACTGGATCATTGCACGCCCCTTGAGTTTTAGTTCTTCATGGAAGCTGCTCCTTTTTCTGTAATAAATTGACAAGTCTTTGTATTGTACTGGTTAGGTTGGGGCGCAAACTGAGACTGAGCTGAAAGAGAAGAAATTGAGAGTTGAAGATGCTTTGAATGCAACTAAGGTATTGTGTCTTTAATGGCTGTAGTGCTTCGCTCTCAACAGTCTATCAGCTAACTAGTTCAAGAGTTCAATTTACTAAAATGTCTCGCTGTGGGATCTGTATTTCAGGCAGCAGTAGAGGAAGGTATCGTAGTTGGTGGTGGTTGCACTTTGCTCAGACTTGCATCAAAAGTAGATGCTATTAAGGAAAGCCTCGAAAATGACGAAGAGAAGGTATGAATTCGGTTTTGTTAGTGGTACTCTTCTTGTACATGCAAGTTTGCAATCTGGCTGAAGTGTGGTTGTTTGCTTCCTTTGGCCCTAAAGGTTGGTGCTGATATTGTGAAGAGAGCTTTGAGCTACCCGTTGAAACTAATTGCCAAGAATGCCGGAGTCAACGGCAGTGTAGTGAGCGAGAAGGTACGTAAAACTATGCTGCCCCTTCCTTTTTTGCTTTGAGCTCTGATATATACCAAGAAATTAAGCAAAATACTGATGTGTGCATGCTTGTACGCAATAAAATATAATATAGGTACTATCGAGTGATAATCCTAAGTACGGGTACAATGCTGCAACTGGGAAGTACGAAGATCTAATGGCAGCTGGAATCATTGATCCAACCAAGGTGGTGAGGTGCTGCCTGGAGCATGCCTCCTCCGTGGCTAAGACATTCTTGATGTCTGACTGTGTAGTGGTGGAGATCAAGGAACCCGAGCCAGTGGTTGCCGGCAACCCCATGGACAATTCAGGTTAGATGCACGCCCGGTTTTCCAACTTTTGGCACCCATTCATTCATTGTTTTGCGAGGAATACTGCTCGATTAAGTAGCTTACAACGATACTCAAATCTCGGTTTGGTGTTGCTCGTTGCAGGATATGGGTACTGATGAAGATTAGAGGCAAGGGGAAGCAACAGTAGAAGAATAAAGAGAAGGAATGTCAAGTTCAAGGGAGCAATTGCAATTTGCAAGCAGAGTGAAGGACTTTGGCGCTTCAATGGTTCTGGGTATTGGATTACGGTGAGTGGAGAGAGAGAGAGAGAGTGGGAATTATGTTGTGGGCTCTTCTTTATGAACACATACAACACTAACCACTGCCGCTAGTTGTAGTTGGGAAGAAGTGAATTTTGTAGACCAATTTCACAGTCAAAGCAGCAAGTTCCCCTGTGCCCCAGCTTTTGCCTATTGCTACTACATTTTATCGAGCCCCTGCTTTGCACGATGACGATCATCTTAAACCCCTTAACTGCTCGATCCCTTGATTTAGTTAGTGTTTGGTTAAACGAATTGGATCGGTTTCTATTACATGAATTCCCTTGACAATAAAGAAGATCAAAACAGAAATAAAACTGGATCGAATTAATCAATGTAGATTGTTAAATCTGATTCTAGTACTCACTGTTACTATTAAACCATGCGCAAAATGAATCCAGACCCTCTTGTATTTCAACTCTATAATCAAAACAGGAAGAAAAAAACAAGATAAGGCTCAATTAAACTTGTCTTCTAAATGTTGAACACCAGCTAGACCATTCCACAACAGCAACTGATCATCAACACCATGGAAGTCTCCAAACCCTAAACCACCACCATCTCCAACACCAATTTCTATCTGCTGCTGCTGCTGCTGCTGGTGTTGCTGTGCAGAGTAGAAAGCTGTTTTGCCCTTGACAATGTCGATCTGAGATTGGACTTCCATGATCTGATTCTGGAGCTGGTAGATCATCCCAGCACATCCGTAAACCGGGTCCTGGACACGTATGCTTGCCTCATAGGACATGGAGTCTGCTGCTTTCCCTCTCATCTCCTCTGGCACTGCCTGCGTTTTCAGTCCAACACCCACCAACAGCTTTCATTACTGACCAACAGCTAGCAAAAACTTCAAAGGGAAGGGAAAAAAGCTTTGGAAGCAAAAGGGTAGTCGTGAATTATTAAATAAAACAAGTTACTAATCAAGATAGGCAATGTATAGACAAATAAATAGCAGTCATTTGACAGTAACAAACAAAAATGAGGTTGTGGGAAAGTAGGCAGTGTTACCTGTAACATCTTGGTAACATTGCTGGCCCCGAAAACTTTGTGGACGGAAGCGAATCTGTGAGGATTGTTTGGAGGGAAATAAGGAGCCAAGATGCAATCTTGGGCGCATCTTCTCCTCAGGAATTTGCACCCTGCGCATCGGCTCCTCGCACCATTCTGATTCTGATTCTGATTGCTTGACATATCTATCTCGATCTTCTTTCTATAAGCTAGCTGGCAAGATCACCAGAGACTAGATTTTCTCTCGAACGAAGATCTCTACTGCCTGAGATCAGTGAAAAGTTGTAATCTTTGGCCTTGGATTCTTGCCCCAGAAAGATTTCTTTCTGTGCGTAGTACATACATATAGCTAGCTAGTTTTCTGAGGTGGTCTGTCTTTTTTTGAATCCAACGGCTAGTTTGGTCAGAAATGGAAAGATTGAATTTTGGGGATGGAATGGAAATGGAGGGGAATGTTGCTTCTCTCGTTTCCATTCTTTCCAAGTTAGTGGTTTTGCAGAAGGCGGTCAGTCAGTGAGGTCAATCAGGGCCAAAAACCGCGGGAGAATTAGAGGAGGAATGTTCTGTTTTGGGTAGTTCAACTCAAGAGTTTCTCCTTTTGAGGTTTTCCCAACGATCACAATTCTCTTAAGTCTTAACATGCTTTTCTGTGTTGTGGTGGAGGAGATGAGAGATTATTTGGAAAATCCATGCACTAAATAAATTCACTTACACCACCTTGCTGCTGCCGTTTTTGCAATTTGAATTGGTATAAAAACAAGGTAAAGTGGAAGTTTGGTTATTCCAGATTACTAAATTGTCACAGGTTTATCATTAAATTAAAATAATTCCATTTGCGATCATTAGATTAGTTCAATATCAAACATGCTTCATATTTTCTTAAAGAACAAAAATTTCGGGTTATGAGCGTTCCCAGAAGCAATATCAAACATGCTTCATATTTTCTTAAAGAACAAAAATTTTCACATATGCATGACAATAGTTTACCTAACACATGTCAATTAACATATTCTCAAAACCTCCCATGCTAATGAAATGCAATATAAATTGCACAAATCGTCAAAAAAAAAAAAAAAATCACAAGAGTAATTCTACTACAAGAAACACATGATATTTGATTATCTTTAAACTCCAAACATGTCATTCAAATCCTTGTGATTTTTTTTAAACATCTAACCAGTTTATGAGTGATTTTATCATATTTTGGGAGTAATATATTAACTGGAACGGGTCTAACAGGTCGACCCGCTAACCCACCCAACCCGACCCCAAAAATCACGGATTATCGATTTCGGATCATTCTGATTTCGGGTTACAAAAATTTCTAGTTTTCGAGCGGTTTCGGGTCGGGTCAACGAGTCGGGTTGTAATTTGCGAGGTCTACGCTTATGAAATGATTTATTACTGATATACCCGTTATTATAAATAATTTCAATGTATCAATGAATGCTTTAATATTATAAGAATACACATCAAAACATTGATAATGACACACCTAATCATTAATAACTAAGCTCTGTTGGCATTGAAAATATAGGTAAAATCATTGATACTAATTGCATCTAAATGAGTAATGTTCATATACATGTTATTAGCAACTCTCTTTTCAAAATGTTGATAACGGCATAAATACTATTAATAGATAAGTTGTGTTTCATTTAAAATACAAACAAAATCATCGATAATGATTGGATCCAATGATTTTCAATCATACCATATTTTATTAATATTTCTTTCTCAAACTTTGATACCCTCATACCCATCCATTAATAATGATACAAAATATGATATTATTATTAGGAAAACTTTAATAACCTATAACATAAGTCATTAACAATACCTATATAAAAATCATTAACAGTGTTGTTGTAAACCATTCAAAAGAAAATAAAAAAATATCAATAATGCTTGGTTCCTAACCAAACAGTTATCAACATAAATTCGTTAACAATCCGCTATAAAAGATTAATAATCACTTCAATGGTGCAAACACATGGTAGTATTGCTTCAAGGTATTATCAACATTTTTGGATAATTTTTTTTATCAATTGATCACAGTGTTATCAACATTAATGCCTGGTATTATTAACGATAGAAAACATTATTATTATCGCTTTCAAAATTATATTCAACGTCTTACGATATCACGCCATTTTTTCAACGAAAACTATTGGGTATAATCTTTGTTTTTTTTTATTAAAGGGAGGCTATCAATCATCCGAGGTAGCACAAATACATAACCAGAAGCTTAGCAACCAAACAGGAGGCGCCCAAGCAAATAACAGTAGACATGCTACAGAATCTTAAGCCAAGTTCAGGAGAGCCATCAGGTCAGGCTTTAGCGATCCTGTAACACTTGCCTTGGGAAGCTGATTCCCAGCACGTCTTCGCGTAACAACCCATCTAACTGTGCGGGTGGATCATCCAGTTCATACGAACCGAAAGGATAGACGAGACTGTGCTTCGAGAGCCAGTCCGCGACTCTATTCCCTTCTCTGTACGTATGAAACAGCTGAACCACCCAGCCTTGCGCCAAAATACGACGAATCTGGCCGAGAATTATGGAATAAGGATGTGCCGAATCAGATCGCTGGTTGATCAGATCAAGAGCCAGCTTGGAGTCGGACTCAAGGATGATGAATTGAGCCCCTTTCCGCCATGCCAGCTGCAGCCCTATAAGATTCCCCACAACTCTGCGAGCAGCGCAGAGCCCGAGCCTAGCTTACTGCAAAAGCCTCCTACCCAGTCTCCATAGCAGTTACGAATAACTCCTCCTGCTGTCGCTATATCTGGATTACTTTGAGCCGCTCCATCTGTATTGATTTTCCACCACCCCGATCTTGGTGCCTCCCAGCTGATTAAGACTTCCTCTCTGGTTGGTTTAGAAGTACTCACAGATCTTGCAGCAACTGCCTCCCACGCTTTACTCCATTCGTGCGCCTTGGAAGTGACATAGTTGTGCAGCGTTGTTGGTGAGAGTTTAATGCCGTTGAAGACCTTGTCGTTTCGGCTCTTCCAAATGTACCAAAGTACTAAACTGAAATAGGACGCCGAACAACCCCTCCAATTACCAAGACTATCATTCTGCAAGTTAGAGATCAGCCAGCTCTCATAACTAGTGCTGAAAAAATCAGCCTGTAGTGCACTAGGAACGACCCTTTTTCATGTCAGCTTTACCGAGTCACAATCACGAAGACAGTGAAGACTCGTTTCCGCGACTCCCTCGCAATTAGGGCAAGCATCATCATTTGCAAGATGTCTATGTTTTCGAACTGCATTGGTGGTCAGCTTCCCCTTCACCGCCATCCAGATAAACATCCTCACCCGCTTGGGCAACTGAAGCTTCCAGATTCTCCGCCAAATAGGTTGTTGTTCTCCTACTTGAGGGATTAAAGTCTTGTAAGCTGAACTGGCAGAGAATTTGTCGATCGACGTCAAGCTCCAGATAAGCCGGTCTTCCTTAGTTGCTAACGGGTCAGCCATGACTGCCCGGATCTTGTTGACAATGCTCGTAGGAAGCAAGCCTTCAAATTCCTCCAGTCTCCATCCCTGATCGCCATCCCACAGGTCCGCCACTCTCCATCCAAGCTTGTCTGCTGCGATTTCCTCATTTGCTAGTTCAGCGAGAGGAACCTACAAAACCCAAGATCCGTCCAAAACTTAGCAACTCTACCATTTGATATATTAAAAGCATATCCCTTTTTAACGACATCTAAGACGGAGGTGAAACTCCTCCAAGCAAAAGAGCCTCCCTTTGTTCTGGAGAGCGTTGCCAGTCCATCTCTGTTGCAAGCATACTTGTTCTTCAAGACCTTCGTCCAGAGGGTGTGATCATTCGATGCTAGTCTCCAGCTTCCCTTGGCTAACATAGCTTGATTAGTTGCTCTTGTAGGTCTGATCCCTACTCCTCCCTAGCTTCTAGGAAGGGTTAGCTGGTCCCAAGAAATCGGGTGGAACTTAGTCTTGCCCTCCTCTTCTCCCCAAACAAATTGTCTGTTAATCCTGTCAAGAGAGTTGCAAACAGACACTGGTCGTGACTCTGAGAACATGGGATAAACAGCCATGGAGGTTGAGATAGATCTCACCAAAGCCACCCTGGCTACTAGGGAAAGATGCCGAGACTTCCACAACGCCAGCTTCTTTTGGATCTTCAAGCATATCTCCTTGTAACGGGCTTTTGTGATGCGTCCATTAATAGCCTTAATCCCCAAATATTTTCCTAAGTCGCTCGTCAGGGGGATACCGGCTTTGTCGCTGAGAAGTTGCGCCTTCTGCCGGCTAACATTTGAGGAGACTATCATGGCCGATTTTGACAAGTTCACCTTCTGCCCCGAACTCAAGCAAAAGTCATCAAGGCACCTCCTGATGGTGTCAATTTGTCTGTTCTCCGCCTCCGCAAATAGAATGAGATCATCTGCGAAAAACAAATGGGAGAGTTTAGGTCCGTTAGGGGAAAGAGAGAGGGGTTTCCATCGCTTCTCCTCCACAGCTTGCTCAATGTAATGAGCTAACCGTTCCATACAAAGAACAAAAAGGTAAGGGGATAAAGGGTCTCCCTGACGAACTCCCCTCGTAGGGGTGATGGACTCCGTTAATTGCGTATTCCAGTTGATCCTCATGATGTTATTTTCTACACAGTACATAATTCTGCTCGTCCAGGTACTTGGTAGACCAATCTCACCCAAGGTGTCTCTGAGGAAATCCCATCTAAGCCTATCATAGGCTTTTTCAAGGTCAATCTTGATGACCATGCCACCCTTTTTCCCCTTCTTATTACGAAGAGTGTGGAGAACTTCTTGTAGGATGATGATGTTATCCGTAGTTTGGCGCTCTGGAATAAAACCACTCTGCGTTGGAGCGATGACTTTGCTCATCAGCGGCTTTAAATGATTCGTGATGGCCTTTGTAATAGCTTTCAAACAGACGTTGTTGAGGCATATAGGGCGCAGCTGAGCCAGTGTCTCTAGGTGGTCGATCTTGGGAATGAGAACAATGGATGATTCCAACATCGCTGATGGAGGGGAACCTGTATCAAAAAAAGCAGATGCCATGTCTGTTAGATTCCTTCCAACTTTTCCCCACAAATTTTGAAAAAAGACAGCTTGAAAGCCATCTGGCCTGGGGGCCGAGAACGGCTTCATGCCAAAAACAGTTGTATGAATATCAGGAACAATAAAAGGACGTAAAAGAGTTAAGAGCTCCTCCTGATTTAGTCATGGAAAGCTGCGTTTTGGCATTAAGTCCTGGTATGGTATGTCCTCCTGCTTGTAGAGATATCTGAAGAAGTTCACCACCATGTCCAGGAGTTTAGAGGGCTCGTCGATCCAATCGCCATTTTTGTCTCGCAGGGCTAAGATCCTGTTCTTTCTACGGCGCCTAGTAGCTTGTTGGTGAAAGTATGAAGTGT